AATTTTTATCTTATCTGAATAATAAAGAACCAACAATTAAATTCACTATTGAAAAAGAACAAAATCACCAAATTCTTTTTCTCGATATACTAATTCAGGAAAATTTAGAGAATTTCGAAACCTGGTCTATAGAAAACCTACTCATACTAACCGATATTTGAATTTCGACTCAAATCACCCGATAATGGTTAAAAAAGCTATTGTAAATAGTCTATATGATAGAGCAAAAATAATTTGTAATAAATCTATTTTTTCCAAAGAAAAACAATGTATAAAAGAAATTCTAAATTTCAATAATTATCCAAATTCTTTTATTGAAAAATGTTTTAACGAAATTGAATTCCCACGAACAAAACAAAATCAAAATAAACCTATTACGAACCTTTTCATTCCATTTATTCCAGGACTTTCAGATCAAATTAAACGAGTAGGTAAAAAATTGAATATTAGGACTATCTTCAAAAATGAAAATACAATTAGAAGTAAAATTTCAGTAACAAAACATCATGACAATTGAAAATACAAAAAATGTAATTTATAAAATTCCTTGCGAATGCAATAAATTTTATATAGGAGAAACCTCAAGACCATTACACAAAAGACTCAAGTTCTAGTTCTTGATTACTTTTTGATAAATAATTCGTTCTTATTGCGAAATAGGAGCACTATTTATCAATCTGTAATAAAAGACGTGAAGAAATTTTGTCTTTTTTAAAGACAAACATTTTTGAGGCGAAATACCCAAAAAGAAGTTTGTAAAAAAAACATGTTAGACCAAAATACAACTTGTGTGTGATATATAATAAAGGTTCCATAACGGAAGAAGATGCTAGGATCTGTCCTGAAAGCCTTATGTTTGCAAAGATTAACAAAGATTTTGAAAAATTTTTGATTTAGCGTTATCTTTGCCACGCCGAATTCATTGCCTAAAATCGTTGAAAAGCAAAACTCATTGACTTTAATACTTGACGCTTTTCTAACGTTTTCAACCGCTCTGATATAATGGAAAACTTCGGATTTTATTGTTCCTCTTGCACACGAAGCACATATTTTCAATTGCTTCATCCAAACTCCTTATTCGTTATCTCGAGACATTTATTCAACACTATTTTAAACGTCTTCATTAAGGGTCAAAGTAGGGCACATACAGATAAATACACACTTTATCTCAAAATACAATTAAATGTTTTTCGGAGTTTACCAGTAATTTCGCAGCCATTTTATACATAACAATTACTGTTAACCGTGATAGCACTAATTGAAATTAAACTGATCAGCCAAAATATGTATGTGTTTTTCGCAACTTTTGTGGTTGTGATTGTGGAAAACATCAGTGTACACACATTTCAAACTGTGGAAATTTACATAATAAAGTAAATATTAATAAAAATTGTAATTTTGCATGTTGTTGCCATACGTTTATACATAGATAAACATACTTATTTCACTCATTTATAGCTTTTATCGTGGATATATTGAAATATTTTAATCATAGGAGAATAATAACCAAACTGTCCTTTTCATTGGTGAAAAGCCAACAAGTTTAGCTGTAGCAAGCAAACATTTGGAATGGAATTGAAATTAGAATGAAAAAGGAAAATAAGACAACGGAACAGGAAAAAAATCAGCCAAAAATATGTTTCCAAATAAGAGTAACGCAAGTATCCAAACCATCAAGGAATAACCAGCAGATCAAAACTAAAGTGAAGCAAATGAAGAGTTAAAGCCTAGAAAGGCAAAATTGATTTTTTTCAGTTTGGCATAGTGGCTAATTCTTCAATAGAGAACTCTCGAACAATTTGCTCTAACGGATGTAGCTGAACGCAAACATCCCCAAAGGGCATATCGAAACGGCCTCCAAAATATCTGGCGAACCGCATACGCATATGACACGAGAATTGATGAAATATTCAGATAATTAACTAAAACAATGTATGCGAGGCCACGAATTAATCGATCCATGGGATTAGAAACCGTCGTTGGCCTGGAATCAAAACGTTAATATCGTGCCAGTTTATCGTTCTATCGATAGGATGATGTTTACTAAAATGTTATAAACAATCGATATTTGTTGATAAAATACAAAATCCAAAACACTCAATTTTTGTTTCTTTTGCTTTAGTCTGTAAACAATCCGAACATTTGCCCTTACTGCATTTCAACAGGCGGAAAAAAATTAAATATTTTAGATAAAGTATCTGCATGATGGTTTCTCCAACTGATTAACATTAATCTAGTCAAACACGTGGAGAAAAATCATTATCGAACCACAACAAAGTTTTCCAACTGCTCGGTATATTGAAACTATTTGAAAAACACCGCGTGAAATCAATCCTTTGATAAGGGTCTATCAGCAAACAAATGTTGTGAATGTTACTAACTCATGTAAACAGTGTATTTTTACAACAAAATATTTAAATTTTGCTTTTCGAATGGATGAAGAAGAAATACTTTTGCTAAACATTCTGGTAAAATAAAAAAACGGCCTTGCAAGTGAATTTTATCCGCAGTGAAAATAGATTTATTGCCATTCATATTGTTTTATCATTCTTTTACTGCAACTTATAATTACTAACATTTTACAAAGCTCAGTGTACAAGTGTCGGAAATGTTGCTTGAATCAAATTTTTCACATTAAAAAACCTGATCGCAAAACAAGAATTATAAAAAAATTATTTTTTAAAACAATCGATTTTTTGAACATTTTTTTAAACTCATGAAAATCGTTGGAATATTTCTCATTGATGTCGCTTCCGTCTTAAACCTTGTTTCAACAAAACTCTCATGTTTTGTTACAAATCCTCTTTCATAATTTTCAGCTTCGACCATTTTGTTGTACTTTTGTTGGTTTATTTCACTTTTATTGACTCACATGTAGATTATTGTATGCTTTCGCTTTTAATTCGCAAATTGTACCTTTTCAATAGCCAACTGAGTCAATTTCATTCAGATCACCACCAATAGAACCTGGGTTGCTTACGCTTTATCCTTTGAATTAACTTTTTTTTTATTCCTGTTAAATTGGTTCAAATAAAACTTTGCTTGACTGTTTCCAATGTAATCTCTCATGTATTTTATGGTGTTTATTTAGAAACATGTTAATGCGGTAGATGCTGTTCGGCTCTACATCAGCAAATTGATTACATTTTTGCTTATCGTTAAAGTTAAGTTTATCATTCTCGATTTTTATGAACTTGTTCTTAACAATATTACGATTATGATAATCATAATTTATCTGGCTAATCCAGGCCTTTAAGTGAGGCTTCATCAATTTCCGGTTTGCTAGTCAACTCTCTTCGCTTTATGCGTTCTCACTCGCGCGTACTAAATATATTTGTATTAAACAGTTAACTTTTATCAGCTAGCAGTTGCAGATTTTTGAAATCAACATTGAAAGAACTTTAACAGACATTTTCGCGTGTCTTCTTCGAGATTATGCGTCTGCACTCGTCAACAGACTGTTCAATTCAATACAATAAAAAAGAGGAAAACATCAGCAAACTTAATTATATCATATAAAGTATGATGTCAACATTTCCTTCTGTTTTTACGAACAAATACGTTTCACTTGAAATAAACATTGCAGGAGTCCTCTTCATTAACGACGCCAAGTTTGCCGATTGAAAATGCGTTTCGTTATTAAAACATTTAATAAGAAAACAACTTGTAGCTGACCTTAACACCAATTCAATTCGGAAAGGTCGTCTGCTTATATCGCACCGTATTAATTAACCAAAACATTTACGGAATGTCTTATAAACAAACTATTTCCACCTGTTGGCCCTTTTAAAATCGGATAATTGATGAGCTCAAGAGACTCAATCAAAAGTGAAATTTTTTGAAGCTTAGATGTTTGAGGTGCAATTTTGTGATTCATTGATTTCCAAGGGCATGTTGCAACCGTGACGAATTTCAGTACATGGCAAAATGCATTTTCTAATGGTTTCAATAAGACAATTGAAATTAATATAATTGGAACAAATATTAATTCAATTTTCGTGTACGGAGTGCTTTCAACCGGAACAAAAGAAACTGTATTTTTCTGGTGCAATTTAACTAAGAAAATGATCATTCTTATAGATACTGCCATTGATCTTCAGGAAACGATGGTTTTTTTTCTCATTTTTTAATAACTACTGCTTTTCAATTTATTTCAAATGATTTTGCATTGCAATTGTCAAAGTGTACTCAAATAGGAAGAAAAGTTACCAAAATTTGAGCATAATGGAAAGTGCAGACAGAGGATTGTCCGCAATAAATAGTGGTAATAGTGTTAAATATGTAAATAATAACCCTAAAGCGATAAATTCGAATTCGGCATCGAAGATGTCGAGTTTTAGTCTTAAAATAAAGAACAATTTAGCAATACAAATATTTTAAGGATATGGATATGGATGGATAAGTTGAAATAAGCTCAAATGTTATCAATTATCACAATAATCAACGAGGATCGAAAGAAAATCTCCTTAATCGATTGGATCATTTCGTGTCGAATATTCGCCTTAATCGGTAATGGTTATTTAAATTTTTTTAAATTATTTAGTTCTTTTGGCTTTTTTGATGCTGCACCATTCCCAAAATCAATCATTGTTTGCTAAAGCTTGCTAACAAATCAATTTTTATTCGGGCAAATAAGCGTGTCAAAGTGAGATGTAAAGTTTCCTAAAATGTCTGTGAATTAATATCATTTGCATAATTATTTGATTCGTTTTATTAATTTTATAAAAATGTCTATTGGTTTTTAAATTACAATTAATCAAAGTGTCTCTGAACCAAAAAAGTCGGACTGAAACATACAAGCTTATTTTACTTAACTTCACTTCCTCTACAAATATCCTTAAAATATTTCGATTTTTTGTCGATTACCTCGAATTCGAAAAGCCTTCGTTTTATAAATGTATCTATTTTTGTAACACCTTGTATCAACCACAACAAGCATCTTCGATGTGCATAAACAATGCATAGTCATTGCATTCATTCTCCTGCTGATAACAATTTTGCCTTTGCTGTTGTAAAATTACAACAAGATTTACTTGTGATTGATTTATTGCGTTATCGTTAATATCGGTTATTTATGGTATCAAAAAAAGATATTTGGTTCAGCAAAAGCAACAATTTCGGCTCAAATACCCGTTACAATCGCTGAATTTGTTACTTGTTCTGAATATTGATTTTTTGTTTTTTTGTAGCGTAAATATTGAACTTACTTGTGTGCAGTTAAGTCGGATGCAGCCAAAATCTGAAGCCTTCTGGCTTCATCGTCACTCTCCTCAGACAAATCAAGCTCGTTGGGAATGTCACTGGAAAAACACGAAAATTTCAATTTAAACTCATTAATAATTTTTATATTAACTGACAAATACGAATGGCTTAAACCTGGCAAGTTGAAGAGAATTTCATGCGAAGCTAAGACCTTGCTGGAAAAGCATGATTTGTGAAAAAATGTTTGGGTACTATTAGTAGATCATTTTCCAATAAAATGTAATGAAATAAAACAAGCAAAACTCATTTGCCAAAACCATGAAAAGACGTCGGAAACTTGGACAAGTTTGAAACTTCCCGCTGTCTGGATTCGGTGATTTATATGGGACACATGAGGACAATGCACTTTTCCAGAATGGTTTTCTGGATTCAATTTGGGAGCCAATTATTTTATGACTCATCTTCCATTCTTTCTTTAGAAAGACCGCTGTATTTGGTAAAATCATTTGACCAGTTTATTTTTTGCGGCACAAAAAGGATCAATTTGCAATATTTATGTAAGTATAATTCAGAAAAAAATGTTTATACGATTTTGTCAAAGCATTATTCAGTGAAATTCAAGACTAATATCATTATTGAGCGACTCGTGCAAAAAGTCTTAATTATTTATTAATTCGGCAAATACTTTAAATGAGAAAGACACGCAAACAGTTATGATTTAGCAATAAAAAATGTGTACTTACGCTGTTGGTATTCTAGGCACGGGTCGTTCTTTTTCTGAAAAGTAAAAAACAAAAAGTTTAGTATTATGTCAATAAAAGCACGTGCAATGTTTAACGAAGCGCTTTTAAAATTGTTAAAAGATTGAAAGAGTTTTGTTTTGAGGGCGATTACTTGCAACTAATGAGTTTTCCGGTTTTTAGGCCGCCGAGGACAAGGGTTTCATCCAGACGTTTAGCAATGATAATTTCTTGAAACATCATGTATCACGAATAAATATCCGCAAATTGCCCAAATTAGGCAAAAGATACAAAGGCAAAATTAGGCAAAATACACATAAGAATTCACGTTCCGTACTATTATTGACGAGTATAATTTAAAAAATGAAATGTTTCAATACGTAAAACTGCCACCGTTTATAAAATGCCACTTTCATAACTCTTTCAGATAAGAAGTACGAAAGAACAATTAAGTGCGGCCCTTTGTTAGGAGGTCGTTTTCTTGCAAACCGTCAATTGCGAGAGTCTCCAGCGGAAAACAAACTTTTAATTAACTTTGTTTCTCTTCTCGTGATTCGAACATTCTTTTACGATGTATCCGCCGGAAATTTGGAAATTTACTTAAACATGTAATTAACTAAACAGCTAAATATTTATTGAAATTGAATTAAAAAAAACACGGATTTTTCGCCATTTGAACGTTGTATAAAATTCACTCTTATAAAGTTTACAAACACCCAAAACAGCTGATAAAAATACTATAGTAGAATTGGTAAGATGAAAACTACAGTTGAATTAATTGACAACAAAAGAAGATTGCGGGAGCAACTCGCACACAAAAGACAAACAAAAACCCTTGACAAAATGCTAAGAAACAGTGACACATAAAACTATTTTTAGCCACTATAGAAATCCATTCTTGGTGCTTGTTCGATGCACTTTCGAGCGCATCGAATTGAAAAACTTTTAACCAATTTCGTTTTGTTTAAAGTTCGTTTTGTTATTTTCATTTCGGGATTGGTGGGCGTTATGAGACAATCTAATTTGGGCTTGGTACGAAACAGTTTAACAAAGCATGCACGTAATCTATTTCAGATGTGGCAGAGTTAAATGCCAAAACAGTTGCCTGAGAATGTGACATTAATTTTGCGGCGGTTTTTCCTGAAATTTTACAACAACAATTCCGCATTTTGCCATGATTTGCATTTGCGGAAATATCCAACTTGAGTTGCTTGCAAACATCACCTTTAAAGGCGAAGATGACAATTGCTAAAACGCTTAATCCACAAACTAAAGATGATAAATGACGCAAAACTCAAAAACTATTTAAAACACAAAACAAAACAAAAGCATTGTATTGAAATTGAGACAGTAGTAGAATAACATTTCATGTTCATAGCAAAATGCATTTAATCATTGTTTCTAATTCTCGCTGCTGAACAATTTTGTCGAAGAAATTACTAGTTTGCTTCAAAATACGAACCTCACAGAATCGATTGTGAAAATGAAGAATGTCTACCAAATATTTGGTTATTATTAGCCCATGTTACACCTTTACTCAATAAGTAAGTAAAATTAGGAGGAATGAATAATGAAAACTTAGTCGCAAACTTCAATTTACATTTTTTTTTAATGGCAATTCTAATTTTTAAAGACTCTTCTCAAAGGATACACATGTGACAGATGCGAACTTTTATTTCCGGTCGTTTATAAATAATTGTTAAATGTAAAATACGTTGTATACAATTTTCGTAAACGAAAAAGAGCACATTTTCAAATACTCGCATTGTAGGTATACATAAAAATTGATGTCTTCTGCAATCAGGATGAGCAACAGAAGGAAGTGACCATTAAAAACCCATTCCAGATATCCTTTAAGACACTTGAACGAAAATATCGATAAAAACCACCCCGCAAGTCTAATAGAAATCGAAATTATTATTTCATTAGACCAATAAATCGTCCTTCAGCGAAATGCTGATTGGCGTGCTGAACGTTCGTGACGCTCGATTGATGGAGGAGACCACAGTTTTGAATGCCAACCGGAATATGAATTTCCCTTTTATTTTTGATTGGATTAGATTGAAAGACGTACGCAATTCTATTAAATTAATGGTCAAAAAAACACACACACCAGAAAAAATACGCCTCAACTTTTTCGATAATCCACGTATGTGCTTGTCACTCAATTTCTAATTGGACGCTTTATTTGAATCAATGGAAAAATCATATGCAGATATTTCGTTAAAAAGAACTCTACAATATTAATTTTATATATCTTTTTTATCAAAACTGTGGCAAACTAAGCAATCTGGAATCTAATTCTCAGGACTTTTGATCCAATAATATTAACAAGGAAAATTCGATTGCTTCATTTATTATTATTAGATAAACAGAAGATTAATAAAACAAACGAATAAAATCATGTCATAAATAGCATGCCTTCAAACGAACTTTATGACTTTGAATGGCACGCTCCAATGAGGACGCATAACAAAACCCAGAAGCGAATAAAACCTCCAAAACCACCATAGTTCGAAGAGCCTACGGAAAAACAATTAGCATAAGAAAAGCACAGTGAATAATTAAAACGCGTCTATTACGGGAGTACAAATTGTCTCTAAATATCGGCTACGCGAAACGCTTTATAAGCGTTTAAAGATACGGTCCGTGGGTTACACAATGGACATCCGTCGACATTAATATGCCTTGAAAATGGCTCATAATTTACCATAACCTGAACCCCCATTCTACCTGAAATGATTGGCAGGTTGGTCGTCTGTATGGACGATCAAACATTTACGACGAGAAAGGTTAACGCACCAGAGTCGCGAGCCAAACGGTATGTTACTTTTTACCGCCGCTCTAACTAGGGTACTTATTATATATTTTTGATCACGAAACTGACGAAATGCAGAAATAAACAGAAGAACCTTATCAAATAGTGACCGACCATCCAACTGTTGAACTTGCAGGTTGGAAATCGATGATGACCATTTTTACCGATTTTACACGTGGTTGTTACCAAAAAATTAACAAATAAGCACCAACTTTTGCCTTTTTGTAGTCTTTATTTCACTAATAATAAACCCTGATGAAAAAGCATAAGGAAAACATACCCGCTAAAACTATAATGGGTCCTACAACCGCATTTGGTGAAGAACAAGAAAACATGTTAGTTTACTGAATCATTACTATGTCAAAAGCGGGTTTTCCTATTTCTAAAGAAATGCTTATGTATAGCGTTAAAAAACTCGCAAATGAATATAACATTAAATTTGGCGGGAAAGCAACTCCCGGTCGAAAATGGTATCATTTATTTTGTGCCAAACATCCAAATATTTCCCCAAGAACAAGTCAAGATTTAACTAAAAAATATGAAATTATATATACTTATATAAAAATAATAGCAAGTGGATTCAAGAAATCTGGTTTGGTTTCGTGGGACCCTACTCAAGTTAAGCTTCCATCTCAATCTAATAATGCTCCGAGAAATAATAACGGTTCAAACAGTTTGGAGCTGGAAATCTTTCTTCACTTATTAGAAAAACTAGTTGGACAACAGAAAATCCAGGTTTTTAAAGAGACTACCGGAAATTGGGAAGGTACAATAGCAGATAAATCCTTATATGAACTGTGGAAAAACTCAAACATGACAGTAAATCCTGAAAAAATCAACGAAAGAATCATGGCAAACAAGCAACCCAAAGACATCTCCGGAAAGCTGCAACCCCGATGAATTGCACAAACAGGTGACACCAAAAAAGCCGATTTATCAAAATGTAGTCTCCTCATTCCAAACACTACGCTTCTGAAACGCAACCATAACAGAATCTGATGTTTACATATCAACACCCTTTAAAAAACTTTTAACCTGACCAATATCTGACAAGGACCCTAAAAAACGAAAAGTAAAAGTTAAAATACCCGCGGTTGCTACTTCTCCTCAAATGATTGAATTTCTGCAGAAAAAAGAGGAACAAGAGAAAGGAAGCAGTTACGGGAAGCTAAAAAACTTGCTACAGAAGAAAATCATAAATTGATTACCGAAGGGAAGAACAAATATAAAAATTTAGTTATTCAAGTTATCCAGTTCCCGTGAATCAAGTATCTCCATGAATGAAATCAATGATTCTGAAATGGAGGAAGTTAGTGATAGTGATCCTAATGAAGAAAAAATGGAAGTTACTATAAATGTTGATATCTATAATTTAAAAGAGGGTGATTTCGTATTAGTGAAATTTATGGGGAGGGGGGAGCGACATACAACTGAATTTGTGTATTTATGCCTAGTAGAAAATTTGAATAAATTAGTTATGGGTTATTAGAGAGCCGATACGTCTAACAAGGAATTTATAGTAGATGATAAAGATGTTTCAAATATATCTTAATATAATCAAAATATCGGCGGTGTGTCAAGCCCAGAAATATTAATGAAAGGGAAACGATTTACATATATTTTTAAACATCCATTAAACGTTAAAGAAGAAATGTAATGTAATACTATTAAACAAAAACTGTAAATACTTTTTATAGATGTCATTTGAATCAATTTAATTTTTCATCCATGCTTCACGTTGTTTTATGCTGCTATAAGTGGTGTTCACTATTGGTGGGGTGGGTCATGAAAATGGTGTGTCCCTTTAATGTATGTTTTTAATTTTTTTCGTTAAAAGTTATTGATATTCACAATTGAATATTTTTTCGTAAAAACCTAAAAATCATGCTCAAAAGATTTTTTCTTGCGTTAACAACACTTTTAGCGATGGTGGTGCTTACCAAAGAACCATAAATCTTTAATGGTAGAAAATGGATATGAAATACCCCAAATGAAAGGGTACCTATTCAGAGAGGGCTTTTTATAAAAACTGGCTAGAGTTTCCTAGTTTCTAGTCTGAGAGTGACAGTAGGTAACAGTGCAATCAATATATTTCCGAGAAACTTTTATGGCCGTTTTCATCGCATGTATTTATGGACTTAGCGTTAAGGACGCCTTAACAGGCAGCTTTCTTTTGTACCGTCAGTAATTTGTGAGTTAAGGAATCCATAAATTAGAGTCCCAAAAGGTGCCAAAATTTAGTTTGACCAAACGACTCGGTGGAGGCTTATTCGGAGAGCTTTGCGAAAAAATGTTGTCGATTGGCTTCGCTTTGGGCGATATCAACGTTATCAAACGCACAAGGTGATTTGCACGTTTATAGGCACCATATACTTTTATAAAATGTATTATTCATATTCTACAGGCATTTAAACATATACATTTTTATTGCAAGGGAATAAAAATAATCATTTATCCTCCTGCAAATGAATATAAAATTTGGCTTCTGTGTTCTGGTGACCGGCGTCATCAACTTTTGCTCTTCTTTTCTCGCCTTCTAATAAAATAAAGATTAAAAGTTCCACATCGTCCATCGTTTCAACAGGTTTCGCTCAAATGTAGGGTCAGATGAATTTATTTACTGTAAACCTAACTTTTACACTTCGACCATTCTGCCTGGCCAGGACAATAGATTGCTTTCTACCAAAGATATGGGGCGTCTAAGGAGTGAAGGGTCTAATTACCTTTTGGCATTCACTTCCAAGAATATCTTTCGTCTGAACGAAGTATCACCTCTATATTGTCGTTTCCTTACTGACGAGTCAACAGCATATTGAGAATAAAAAGCCTCTTTCAGGGACAAGGTTACCCTTAATTTTCCAAGGTTACTTTATCCCTGAATTGTGTAGAATAATTCAAAGATTTCCCGCAGGGGAATGCAAAAATAATTTAAAAATCCCTTATATTTAATATATGTTACGCTTCTTGTCGCAGTAAATTACACTATCCAATCAATAGAAAACCCTTAATGATTATAATTTAACCCGTTTTATACATGGGAAATCCAATATTTCCGGCCGATTTAGACTTGATTATCTTAACTTTGTCGAACCTGCTCTTTGATCGAGCAATAAATAGCACCCTTATACTTGTTGAGGTGTTCCTGTCAGCTGCCCTTCTTAGCCGAATCAAGCAGATGTATTTTACCCCTTGGGAATATAAATTCATGGACTGGCTATAAGATTTAGAAAAAAATCATTATTTCCCATTAGCACCAGAGCTCGGAGAGGTTGCCAAAAATTTCCCTTAGCAAGTATGAACACGCCAATTAGCGGCTTATACCCTTTTCCGCATCATGCGTGACATGCATTTATACATGAAGATCAATGCCTGAACAGACAAAGCCAAACATGCATGTTATGGTTTTTTTGCTCTTATCTAATGGGCATAATTACCTCTATAACATAACGGTATGTTAAGACCGTATGACAATCTCCACATGGAAAACGTACTGAATGCATAATGAATCAATTAGGCGCAGGTTTATTTTCAAATCGACAAGGCCAAAGAGTGATCAACATTATTACATTTCAAAGCGAATATTTATTGACTGACTTTGTTGTTTACTTAGGGGTCCGCAAAAACATCCAGCCGCTGGCTCTTCTCCATACAATTGAAATCAACATCATTGGGAAAGTGTCGAATTAATTTTATTTAACTTGAGCACCAAACACTACAGTCTAGACCCAGACAAACATTTCGGAAAACTTAGTTTTTAGCCACACGTTTTCAGAACCGCGACACGCAAAAAACGCTGTAATGATGAAGCTGTTTTAACGCCGCGCATTTTACGATAAGTATAATGATTTTGAACACGTTCGGGTCCTAATTTCCTCCAAATAACCGAACGACTTAGACAAATGATGGTATTTCCTTCCCGGGAAATTAACACAACGGCGATATGATTTTTGAAAAAGTTGCAGAAACATGAAACAGGGTCAGTTTCATGTTCATTTCATTTTACAGGGTTTGTAGTATCGCGTAAACTCTAAGAGGTACGAAGTCGGTTAAATAAATCAGCGAAAATTTGCGTATTCCGTTGCTGAAGAAAATGGTGTTTTATATAAGAAATAATCGAAACACCCGAAGTTTGCTCAAACGATTTTAAGCTTTTCCGAGCTTATTTTAAGATATTTTTGAATAATAACACACTTTTTAAGTCGGTGAAAGAAATCAGGACAAATTGAAATCCAAAATTGTCACATTTTTTAACACCTTTTCATTCTCTATAAGTCAAATCTATTCCTGGGTTTCAGTCATTTATTGTCTCTATTTATTAATCAAAATACGTTTCGGTGTATTTTTCCACCATCATCAGTTTTTCTAAAATAACAGATAGTTAAAAAAATGTTTTCATTAATTTAAAAAACAACCACAGTTCGTCAACAGCCTCATCATATCATATATTAAAAGGCCAAGGCTTAAAGCAGCAACAACGCTACACATGTAAGTAAAAATAATTAAGTATCTGAACGAAGAATTCTAGTCTCTTCCCAAATTTGATTGTCCTGACTAATCACCTGTTAGGCCTAATTAATTTTAGAATGTTTTAAAGTATTGCAATTGTGATGTATTTTTTTTAATATGTGATATGATGAGGCTGTTGACGAACTGTGGTTGTTTTTTTAATTAATGATTTTTTTTTAAATTATCTGTTATTTTAGAAAAACTGATGATGGTGGAAAAATACACCGAAACGTATTATGATTAATAAATAGAGACAATAAATGACTGAAACCCAGGAATAGATTTGATTTGGAATTGAAACACAGTCATGAAAGTATATACAATTCTCTATAAGATCAAAATCAGAATTGAATGTTTAGTCCACCATCAGAATGGCCCACCATCACTTATATTTTTTTTCAATTATTAGCGGTTTATTCGCAATATCAAATTTCTCATTTTTCCCGTTTGTGTCCGAATACTTCTGGAAGCAGCCGGAATTTTCCAACTTTTTACGGTTACAACGGTTTACAAGATGTCCTATGGAGCACCGCCAATTCGTAACATCCTGTGTATCCGGTAACCCATATAATAAAGGCTACCTTGTTTTTTTTTTGAACCATCACCTGGTACAGGTGGCACGTGAGACCGCCGCACAGGTGATACTGTTGCACGTCACCCTTTCGGCCCCATCTTTGGCCGTATTCTTCAGCTTTTAATCTGATACTATACAGAACTTTCTTCAAAAATTTGTTTGTTTGGTGAGAACTGACATTGTTTTCCAACCAATAATTCCTAAAGAGACAAGATTTGAAGAGAATGACAAATAATAGAACACTACTCAATAAATGAACAATTTCTATTGATTCTATCAACTTTCGAAGAAACTTTAACAAGTGCCCGTCATACAACATACAACCACGTTTAAACTTTTGCAAACTTCTTCATCTGCTCTGATATTACTCCTCATCGTTTGAAGACGCCGTAATAGTGGTGGCTTAATGCTCGAGTCACGGAATTCTTGCGTAATCTTCACCGCGATTATTTTAATATTTACTGCTGAGAAACGGGTTTTAAAAAATTTCATTCGCGGAAGCAGACAGTGCTGGAACTGTTAGGGAAGATCTTAGCCCAAGTAGGCAGATAGACAATAAACTAATAGGAAATAACCCAAGAACAATATTTTGTTTACCGATGAATCGTGTTTACCAACTAGAGGACGTATTTTTCAATTTCTATAATAAACGGGTTTATGCACGTGAAAATTCGCACGCAATTAAAGCATTTTGAACACGAATTAAAAAATAACGTGAGGTGCGGAATAATTGGCAATTTTACTGTAAGCCCTATAAGTTTGGGTCGCACATTAAGAGGGAAGTTGAGTTGAGTTTGAATTTTCATTATTTAAATAACGTAGAGAATAGAACATTAAAATGATGCAATAAAGAATCAATCTTGCAGCAAAAACCGTCATCTCTTCGACAAATGAAAGGAAAACCATGTTTCCACCCCACTTGAAAAGTACGCTGAATGCTTTGGCATTAAACATTGATCGTCCTAGTAGCTTAATTAATAACCTGCATTAATTTGTGGACTTTCCCACGGCTATTTAGACATTTTATTGGGACATTCCTGATAAATGTGTTCGGTTCGACATGACGATATTTCTTTAGTTTGCGTCCGAGCCAACAATAATCCAATACATTATTCTCACCCATTTCGAACGGAATTTTATCATTACCGCACACAATAACTTTCGTGATCATTATTACACTTGAATTTCTCTGTTGACAGACTCATTGATTGAATGATTAATGAATTACTTTGATAGTCAACTATGTTTAGCCTACTAGAGCCTACAATCTTTGCAGTTTACTGGCTTGCTTTAGACGATTTTTTGGATCTTTCTGACCAGCAAAACATAAAACTTTCGTGTATTTTTTGAGTTATCAAGATTTGTTACTTTTTGAACACATCATAAGGAGCGATACTGATATTAATGTTAACGTTTTCCCCAATTTTGCATTTTTCCCGTAAATGTGCGCCAGTATTTATCCAAAAAATTGTCCTTTCATTACTTGTTCAATTTCGAGCAAAAAACCCTCTTGAGTTCTGCGTGCAACGCATAATTTACGAGTAAAAAAAGGATTGAAGACACGATTAAACAAGAAAACGTTTTTGCTTTTGGAATGTAAAAAATATACAAAATTACTTGAAATACTCAAAAAAATTGTATTGAGGACTTCGTCAGAATTCTTTTGATGAATTTGCACATTTATCCTTTTATAAGCGACATCGACTTGCATCGACATCTGCAACCGTCAAAAAAATGCGATTTTTTGGAAAACTACAGATATTCAGAGCGTTTCTGCTTGTGGAATTTAACTCGCTAAATTTACTTAACACGTTCTGGAAGTTTCGAATTGAGGACACCTTTCCGAATTATTTATACACTCCATACTTATGCGATTATAATTGCATCGATCAAAAAAAAATGAATTTTCTTAAAAACTACAGAAAGTGAGTGCGTTTTCGCTTCTGAAATTTAAGCCGCAAAATTTATTTAATACGTTCCGAAAGCTTCAAATTGAGGACACCTTCAAGCATTTGTTAGAAATTTCTTTCTGACTAGCAAAACATAAAACTTCGTATATTTTTCGAGTTATCAAGATTTGTTACTTTTTGAACACATCATAAGGAGATACGGATATTAATGTTAACGTTTTCCCCTATTTTTTCAGTTAGATACTTTCCCGAGAAATTTTAAAGATCGACACTGATATTAATGTCATCATCACAGTGGAAAATCGCAATTCTCAATCAATATATAAACACGATTATTACATAAGCGTGTCTGGCACGCCAGCCGGAGTCAAAAAACTATAAGAAGCTGTGAGAGTTTATCTGGAAGTTAGCACAAACGTGGAGATTAAAAACATCCGGAAAGTTTCCCCGTTTAGCAACTGTTTGAGGCGTTGGAACGCTGGCCAGCCTCCTGGAATACGAAGAACTTTCCCGACAGTCGGTTCATTTAATTTAAATGGCCTTTTATTTTGCCTGATCATGTAAGTTTCCCTGACTGTATTTCGGCATCACAATTTATTCGCTTTTCTTAAAATAAATGTCACGTCTTACGCCAATTTTTATTTATTAGATTATTATCTTATATTATATGTTTTTGGTAGATTTAGAGGGCGGCAGTTCCCGGCCACTTTGTGTATTACATCGCCTATTATTTACTTCGAACAAACAGCACCAAACAATTACACTGAAACTTAAATTGGGGTTTTCAAACTTCAATATTTTTGAACGGTAATCTTTCTGTTTTTCACTGAAACATTCAGTGTATTATTAAGACTGAAGTAAGAAATCAGGACCATAAAGTTTGGGAAAATAACCGAAGTTCGCCTTTCAGAATTTGAAACTATTCTCTTATTTACTCGTGTAGGCAGATGTTTCTGTGCTAGGTTTGGGACTGATACATTCGTATCTATCTGAAATCTTCGTACTAATGCTTGCCCATTTCAGAACAAAAAATTAAAAAACTGTTTATATTTTTTCTGGTGCGCATATCTTACAATATATTTACTGGATGGTTAATCTTATATGTTTCTTTCATTTTCCATTTCACGAGCTCTTGTGAGAACTATTTTCTTTAATCAGTATTTTTGTGTTCTCAAAAGCAAAATGATGTAACATTTGGTGTCCATGTTGTGCTAATTTTTTTGTTTTCACCATGCTTATGATATGATCCTGATTCCTTTGCATTTAGTCTTAATAATTTTAGATTGTTTTACGGTATAGCAATTTTAAAGTGTTCAAGTAATTAGTAATAACAGACTTCTTGACTGTTTTTTTTAAAGCACATAATTTGAAAATATCAAAATTCATGTGTTAATATTTTAACAATTGGTTGACAATAAATGACTGAAACCAAGGAAAATTGTTTTATTTCGTATGGGTAACAGCTAGTGTCTCTGGGAAAATTGAAGAATTAAGAATTGAAAACAATACGAACTGGTAGAAGGAAGTGAAAGTAACACATAAATGGTCAGAAATTTGGAATCGCTTCTACCCAAAAAGCCCAAAATTTACCTTTTCCTTTTGTTGGTTTGTGGGCACCATAGCGATGGTGTACGGTGAAAAATTTATACCTATAGATTACCCAAACCAACCCCAATTTCTACCAAATATGCATAGGAAAAAAGCATGTACTAACAAAATACAGATGAGCAATTGACAGCGTGGACCTTACGGGGTTATTTGTTATCTTATGGCAACGTACTAAATTTCAAAGCGTGAAAAGTGATTGAAATCGGAACTTTCCTAAAAAACTTCCTAGAAGATTAATTGGTAAAAAATACTTGTCTAAGAGTTTGGGCTAATCGAGAAAATTAACCAATTAATTTGTCGAACAGAATGGTAGTTTACATCCCATAAAAGGCGTTTGAACGCCAATATGACGCAATAATGACCCAACGTGGTTTGTACTTGATTAGGTCTTAAGTGGAAGTGGCCGATTGTGTCAACAACCCGCAACGTCGCCGGAAGCAAGTACCGTCGTCGACGGAAACAAAGAAAACCTTCGAGAAACGGTTTCTTGGGCACCTCTGCTTCTGCCTCACCTGCCTTGAGCATTGTTGCCCGACTTCATGAAATAACATAGACCATTCAATAAACCAGCAAGGGAACAAGAATTTTTTCTGTTCCGAAGATGCCTACATATCGTATCGAACACCCACTTGGTGTCTCTCGTATTCAATCAACTTAGTCTAAACATAAAGGCTATATATCCGGAATCAACCAACAATATCGGTTTACAAGGTTCAACCCTATTCGAATACCCTCCATTCATTTCAAACATTCCAAAAACAATGTTGACTAGCAAAGCGATTTTTTTTGATTCCCCATAAATCCTATGAGTTTTCCAGCCCCGCTTTCATTGAGATTCACTGGCTTATTTGTATCAATAGCGACTGATCCCTGAAGGCCGAACGACTTAGAAACGATTTTCTGTATCACAATTTGCAGGCAAAACCACACAAGTCCAAATAGGTTAATGGCTGACCGGCACTAAGGCCAAAATCGATTTCGAAAGAAATTAATAAAATAACGCCGAACCGTGTCCCGTCACAAACACAAAAGGCTTTGTATGCAAATACGTGTGGGGCTCACCGATACACATTGATTTTGTTAATGCCCCTTCTGACTACATCTAATGCGAACGATAAACAACAATCAAAGTGTTCGGCGAACCAAAAAAACCCCTGGATTCAACCCGAGCCTAAAGCCAAGCCGGATTTTTCATTCAAATGAAAATAAATGCCGCCAAAACGAAGAGCATGTCAAACTAACTGTACGTTATGATAATAATACAAGCTGAACACTAATCGGTTTCTTGAGGTGTTTATGGCTTGGAAGACTTATGAAGTAGAACGCTCGATGTGTGTTTCAGAAGAAAATCGAAGAAGCATTTGAACAAGGGCGGATCCAGCTTCCAAGTCAGTAGTAAAGATTCAGTCAGGCTTCAATTCAATTATTGAAGGATTTTGACCTTAATTCTAACCGATTACTATTAACAGTATTAAAAATGTAAATATTTGAATTATAATTGGAATATTGTCACCACACGACCAGCATGACTGAGTGTTCAACGGCCCATTCTAACAAACAAAATGATTCGAATGATTTTAGAGATGATCCTTTTTGAGACATTTAGCTGCAATTTAATATTACTGTACACACAAAGAAAGACACTTAGAGCAAAACCACAATTAAAAAAAACCTTATTCTTGCCTTGTACACTGGACATTGTTGTCTGCGAATATTTTGCTTCAAAAATCGTCTGTTTGGCATTAGAGTCTTTTTCAACTAATTTCTCAAAAAGTTGCACACTGTTCTGAGTTCAAACTCGTTTTACTCCCTTGTGGTTGCCGCTATCCAAGGCCGGAATAGTTTTTATAGCTACTTTTCTGGGCTTTTTGGGGGTTTGAAAACTTTTAAAATATCTTGACATTTAACCAAGTTACAGGCAAAAGAGTGGAGAACGCGCAAATGGAACAGTCGAACAGTTGCCCAACATTCAGGATTCACTATCTCCCAAACCGTTGTAAAAACTCTAGCACCCATGGTAACTCAGGGATTTGTGCTTTTTGAAATATTTTCAACAAAGTTGCAGAGTCATGGGCAAATAAGTGTGTAACAAATGAATAAATGTGGGTGGCAGTTTAAGTCTCTCTAACTCCAAATTCCATTTTCTCCAATACTGAATACGAAAATCATGTCAATGAAAAGTGGAATTTTAGTCTAAATTGGATTCCTAACTGAAAAATTTGCACATTTGCGATTGCCAAAAACATCAAAAATTTCTAACATATTAAAAAAAATATATTCGCAATTGTTTTTAAACCATTGAGTTGCTCCTAAAAATACATTTCGGGGTTAAAAAAGCCTTGGGCGCCGCCAAACTTGTAGCAAAAGAGCGTGTTCGAGGAGCAACCAGCGCTTCAGATCTTCAGAAAATTTAAACTGCGCTGGTGCTGAAACGCTGACCAAAATTAACTTTGAGCTTGAAGCAGCTTTTAACTCTTAGCTTTAACTTTTAACTTAAGTTTATGGCCTTTAAGAGTTTTTGAATTTCTGAAAAATTTGTTGATAACCGACCGAGATACAGGGTAAAGAGTTGAATTATGTGCAGAGCTCATTTATTTCTAAAATGTTGCAAATACAAATTTTCTTATAGATAATGAATGTGTCGAGAATACGGTTTGCAAACAACCTGATATTATATTTTGACAATGAGTTAATCGAGGTAAAAATTCAAAGCATTTTGTTCGGAAAATTGTCTCTTCGACCTTAAAATCATAAGTTCAAAGTTTTTCAACCGATGGCAATTTTCCGAGATGCAGCTTTTATGGAAAATCGTACGTTTTAAACAAACTTGAAAATTTACAAATCGGCTCGATATTAACAGTTATACAGAAAATTTCTATGCCCAAACAGCTGTTTTTCCAAAAAAATGCTAGCTTGAATCCACAAAAAATCGAAGAAGAAAATTAGTTTTTTCGACCTTCAAACTCTAATAACTTTCAAATTTCTCAACCGATTTCAAGGTTGCAAAATACGATTTTTAGACAAAATCACTTGCTTTGGAACAAATTTTCAATTATCCGAATCGGGCCCGTACTAAGAAAGTTACTAATTTATTCATACTGAATGATCTGATGCACCATATAATGATAATAACAGCTAAATATTCATAATCTGCGTTTGATTAGCGTTGGTGTTTGTCATCATGCAAATTATTTATTTTCTTAAATCGCTGAAGCCAATAATCCAGCCAAAATTATCTAAGATGCTCAACAAAGCACATTTTGGTCAATTGCCTTAATTTCTTGGAAAAAAGGTTAAATTCTATAGTTTCAGTTAAGTACTCCTGATATTACGTAGTTTCAAGCATTTTGCGCAACAAATATCACCAGTAAATTGCCCACTTAGCGCCGAAACCAATTAACAGAACTGTAACAAGTGACATATGGATGATCAATAATTGTAGATAATCAGAACTAAAAACGTGAAAATTAACCGCAAACATGATACCTACATTCGATTGCCAATTATTCTCTACACCGAGTAGGTACTGGTTAATGATTGGCTAATTTATAGTGAAGACTCAAGCAAGACGTTATACATGGAAAACGTTTTTTTTTGGGCGAATATTTCAAGTTTACTGGTTGCATTTGGCATCCGACGATTGTAAATCTAAATATCCATCAGTGTTTGCAAGAAGTGCCAGGAACTAATAAAAATTGATTTTTTCAGTAGTCGTTTTATGTCTGCATCTGCACGCGTCTATTTTATCTTATGAATAGAACACAGGTGCCAACAGCGTTATCATTTATCTCTTATCAATGTACTGCACATTTCCGGCTCGTGTGTCCGATTTAATCAGTAATCTTGAAAAAAAGCGATATCACCCAATCAGATCAATAACAGCTCCCGCTCTCCTAATCTTAATTCTTCTCGGTTTTTTAATGATATTTTTGCTATTTACCATGGATGGAGAATAAAGCCGAAAAGTCACAAGTTGTGTTGGTCGTCTCAGCGTAGAATCGAAACCTCGCCGGCTCCCTTTCGTATCCACTTAGTTCCCCTCTTTTCATAGCACTGAACAACCCCTCTGCGTATCCCGTAGCCATTCGGTCAAATCCCCTTTTAATAACTCTTTACCGATTGCACAATAATCGTCGTTTCACATTGGCACTTTACAATTGATCCAGCCAAGTTTGAACACTAGCACTTGGACATAAAATGAAGTACTTCACTAGTGCACTCACAGTATATTCTAAAACTTTGATGACCTGAAATGCACAAAACCAAAACTGTGTTTTTAATGTTTGAGGTCAATACAATTATTATCTCTTAAGGTGACTTAAATCGGTCGCTTTGCCAGATTAGGGCTTAGAATAGAGGCCAAATGGGGAAGAAGTATGTGCAGTCAATTGAGTCGTTAGAACAAATCCGGCCAACCAACAGGCGACTTAAGAAATGAGATTCAGTTGACTTAATTAAAGTGTGTTTTTTGTCGATGTATTTTTTGAATGTTTTTTGTTGTTGTCATCATTGTGTCGGCATAATATTAATACAAGGGCCTCAAAAGTACTCTGATAAACCTTAGTTGGCGATTGCTGGCATTATTTTAAGATGATAAGTTCGAATAAGTCAGGGTTCTTAAGGGCATAGTTACGAAAATACAGTGTTAAATTTTTACTTAATATATTCGAAACCGTTTTTTTATATATTTTATTGGCAATTCGGAAATGCGCGCCACTATTTATCAAAAAAATTGTCCTTTCATTACT